AACAGCCCTCTAAATGATCTTCATGAACTCTAAAGTGTGAGAACCACTGATCCAGACACTCTTCCTTGGGACATATGTGACTGACAATGAATGTGGTGGTAATTGTCTCTTTTATTCAGGAGCTGATTTTGCTGAACCTTCATTTTTTAGATCCTTTGACTTTTTTGAGGTAGATTCATTGGACTCTATATATCAGTTTGCTAGGGCCACAAAAATAAAATGCCACAAACTGGAGGCTTAAACAACATAAATTGATTTTCTCACAGTTCTGCAGGCTGGAAGTCCAAGAGCACAGTGTCACAGGGTTGGTTTCAGATGAGGTTTCTGTCCTTGGCTTGCAGATGGCTGTTCTCTTTATCTCCATGTGGCTTTTCCTTCATGTATGTCTGTTGTTTGTGTCTTAATCTCCTCTTCTTATAAAGACACTAGCCATATTTGGTTAGGGCCCATCACTATAACTTCATTTTTAACTATTTACCTGTCTTAAGGCCCTATCTTTCTATTTCCAAATGCAGTCACCTTCTAAGGCACTGGTAGTAAAGACTTTAACACATGAAGTGTGTGTGTGTGTGTGTGTGTGTGTGTGTGTGTGTGTGTGTGTGTATGTGTAAACAAGTCAGCTTGTAACAGTCTAAATAAATCTCAAAACACTATGAATAAGTGAAAGATGAACACTTCAGCCTTTTTGCGAAGTTCCTTTACCCATTCCAGCTTCTGTCCAACAGAGCCTCCTCCTGATTGGTGTTTCGGTCTCTCTCCTCTAAGGCAGTGGGAATGAAGTAGGGACAATGATAACTTGCTTTTTCATTGACTCTGTCTCATAAGCTCCATATCTATGGATATAGGAGAGTCTAATAACTATTGGCTCAACTGCTTTAAATGATTATGAGCAGTGGTTCTTTTAAAAAAAATATATATTTTATTGATTTTTTTTACAGAGAAAAAGAGAGAGGGATAGAGAGTTAGAAACATCTATGAGAGAGAATCATTGATCAGCAACCTCTTGCACACCCCTATTGGGGATGTGCCTGCAACCAAGGTACATGCCCTTGACCGGAATCGAACCTGGGACCATTCAGTCCGCAGGCCAATGTTCTATCCACTGAACCAAACCCGTTTTGGTGAGCAGTGGTTCTTGAAAGGAATGTGAGAAGCCAAGATTCTTTTCATAATGAATATTAACATGTTCTTTGCATTTATTTTTACTGGATGACATCTGCACTAATTGTGCAAAAGCAATGGTGGTGAAAACTGTTGGTGCTTCAGCATGAATTGAGGAGTAGCACCACACTGTACTGGTAGTCCTTATAATTTTACCACTGTGCATTTGCATTAAAAAAATGCCAGTTTCACTTAAAAGCACCCTTGATGAAATAGTAAAAATTATTGTTTACTAAATCTTAACTCTTGAACACACAACTTTTTAGAATTCTATTATATTTGCCAAAATGGGGAGTATGCGCTAAGCACTTCTGTTCATAAACAGTGGCTGTTTGGAGGAAAAGCACTTCTGTGATGAATTATCAGCCAAATTAGCCTCTTTTTCCCCCCATTAAACACCATTTTAACTTCAAAGAACAAGTGATAGATGAAATGTAATTATTTACACTTATGTAGCTAGCACACATGTTTGCAAAAATGAATGAAATGAGTCTTTTGCTTCAATGAAAGCAACTGACAGTATTTGTTGCTAATAATGAAATTCAAGCTTTCAAGTAAAATTAGAATTTTGGAAAACTTGTATCTGTTACTATGATTTTGATAGCTTACTAGCTGTTGAAGGTTTTTTTGGTGAGGTTGACGATTAATAGATGTGCCTTTAAAATATGATATAGCTCTGGCCAGGTACCTCAGTTGGTTAGAGTGTCATCCCAATACACCAAGGTTGGGGGTTCAATCCCCAGACAAGACACATAAAAGAATCAAGAAATAAATATATAATTAAGTGGAAAAACAAATCAATGCTTCTTCTTCCTCTCTTTTTAAAATCAATAAATAAAAATTAAAAAATATTATTTAATTAGATGTGTCACTATTTGGAAAACTGCCATAATCCACTAATATCCAAGGGCCAGTGCAGAATGTTATAAAATCATGCATGAGTAAAATATCTATTCAAAGTGAAGGTAGATCAACTAATTTCTATGTAATAGAGCAGTGGTCTGCAAAGGTGGCTTGTGAGCCACATGCGGCTTGTGAGCCGTGGTTTGCCGGCCACTGTCATATACTATCCTTTACCTTTTTGCACACAATATGCCACAGTTGCCTAATCCTCACAGCTTCCAACTACACGGTAACATTTAGTCTAGCCCAGTGGTTGGCAAACTCATCAGTCAACAGAGTGGCAAACTGCGGCTCAGCCACTGTAATAGAATATAAAAAATTCATTTAGGAAACTACCCATTGTAAGGTTTTGGGGTGTTATCAGAGAGAAATATTCAAAATTATCTGAAAGGATTATAACAAATACTCTTTACTTTCCCAACTACATATCTGCATGAGGCTGAATTTTCCTCATTTACTTTAAACAAAAGTATATCATAGCAAAATAAAATAAATGCAAAAGCAGATCTATCTTCTATTTAAGCTAAACATTGAAGTTGCAAATACAGAGTGTCCCCCCAAAATGTATTCACACTGTGGGTAATTATTAATTCCACTGGTTTGAATCTAAAAAGAAAAAGTGTCAATTGAGCTATCAAAAAGTATGTATATACATATTTTGGCACTCCTTATATTTGAAAGCTAGCATCTTCTCACTAATATTTTTCTGTTTAGGAATATACATAAAATATATAAAATATATTATTTAACATATAAAATATAATGGTTTTATTATTGCTTTTTAAAAATGAATACATACATATTTAAAAAGTTTTCTCAGTTCTAACAATATTCAAAGTCACTAATCATCAGAGAAATGCAAATTATAATGACAATGAGGTATCACCTCACACCTGTCAGAATGGCTATTATCAATAAATCAACAAACAAGTGTTGGTGAGGATGTGGAGAAAAGGGAACCTTTGTGCACTGTTGGTGGGAACACAGACTGTTACAGCCACTAAGGAAAACAGTATGGAGTTACCTGAAAAAAATTATACATTGAAGTGCCTTATGATCCAGTGATTCCACTTCTCAGGATTTATCCAAAGAAATCTGAAATACTAATTCAAAAGAATATATGTACCCCTATATTCATTGCAGCATTATTTACAGTAGCAAAGCTATGGAAGCAGCCCAAGTGACCATCAGTAGATGAGTGGATAAGAAAGCTATTCATACAATGGAATATTACTCGGCCATAAAACAGAACAAAATTTTACTATTTGCAACAGCATGGATAGACCTAGATGGTTTTATGCTAAGTGAAATAAGTCAGTCATAGAAAGACAAATGCCATGTGATTTTACTTGTATATGGAATCTAAAGAACAATATACATGAACAGATAAAATAGGAATAGACTCTTAGAAGCAGAGAACAGGCTGATGGTTGCCAGAGGGAAAAGGTTTTGGGGACTGGGTGAAAAAGGTGAAGGGGTTGAGAAGCATAGATTAGTAGTTACAAAATAGTTATGAGCATGTAAAGCACTGCATAGGAACTATAGTAAGCAGTACTGTAATAACTATGTAGGGTGCCAGTTGGGTACTGGAAATATCAGGGCAAACACTTTGTAAAGTATATGATTGTCTAACCAGTATGCTGTACACTTGAAAGTAATATAAAATAATATTGAATGTAAAAAATATTTAAAATTTTTGAAAAATGAAAAAAATCTCAGTTCTAATTCTTAATAGTGAGTATCAATGGATATGACGCACATAAACAAAAGCTTGTTGGAGACCAATAATTTCTAAGAGTATAAGGGGATCATGGGACTGAACAATCTGAGGGCTCCTGACTTAGAGAGACATTTTTCTAGCTATAAGTAGTAGTTGGATGAGTTAACTTTGATTCATGCTACACTTAAAGTGAGTTATAGTCACTATCTGAATGCCAAACTTAGTAAACTTGACTTTTCCTTATTTCTTGGTGGGAGAAAAGTTATAATGGTACTAGAGGTCGGGTGCATGAAATTCGTGACTAGGTAGGGTCCCTAGGCCTGGCCAGTGATCAGGGCCGATCTTTGGGGTGACCAGCAGGGTGATCGAAGGGGCCCTGCTGGCACTCACCTTGGCTGGCCTGGGGCCTGCAGGCTGGGGTCAGCTCCTGCACTACGCATCTTCCCTCTGGTGGTCAGTGCTCATCATAGCAATTGGTTGTTCCATGGGTTATTCTGGTGTTCAGTTGATTTGCATATTAGGCTTTTATTATATAGGATTCTATATCAAATTCTTCTCATGCATAGATTAATGCCTGTTTCATCTTTTCTAATTCCATATAAGATTAGATAATCATAAATAAAACTGGGAAATAAAAAAAAACCTATAAGAACTAATGTTTTTGTGAGATTTGTTTTAATCTAATGAAAATATATTTAAATGAGCAAGATTAAAATCCTCCCTATAGAAAAAAACTTGGGAATCTTGTCAAACATGCTCTTTCATTCTGTTCCTATTTTCTCGTTTTCCAACTTCTATAGAGCACTTGTTTCTTTCCTTTTTCCTGTCTTCTTTACCTCTTCTTTTATTTATTACCCTCTTTTTTTCCCCTTTGCTTATTATAGCTGGAAGTATTTCCTTATATTTGCAGTTTTTGGTTTCTGCTGGTGTCCTCTAAGAAGATGCTGAGTCAGTAAATATGAGCACGGCATTGACAAAATGTAGGTACTTCTTTGCACTCTCAGCTCCAGGATTTAAACAGTCTCCCATTCAGTATGTAAAATTTAGCACTCGAGTACTTGCCTGAGCTTCTATTCTTAGATTTCTAGAGGCTGTGAAAGAAAATTAGGGGAAGGGACTTCTAACTTTAAACTAATACCTTCCAGAAGAAGTGGCATCAAAATAAGTTATACTGTTATATGTGTTTTTCATAGGTTTCTTTCTCTTTTTCCTCTAGTCCAAGAGTCACTCCCGGGCTGGCCTGAAATCAAGCACGAAGCAAAAGGTATGATTTCCCTTCCTCCATTGTGCCTTTATTTATTTATTTATTTATTTATTTATTTAGGAATAGAGTGACTTGTTTTGGAAGGCAAGGATACCCCAAGAATCAAGGTAATTTGGGAGTCTTCATTTGCTTTGCTTCCATAATAGTAAAGCTGAGATTGGAGAGTGATCCTTGAAATGAAATGGAATGAGAGATATTCTGCAAACTCAGTGACTAAGAATTGCTCATGGCTATGGCTTATAAGCAGTTCTGAAAGCAAGGTCATGAAGATGCTCTTCCAGTTTCAGCTCTTTATTTTCTAAGCCCTCCACAGTGAAGGATTCAGTCCTGTATCAGGTCACAATTTTTACTGAACTGTATTCTCTTGCCATTGCCTCTGGAGAATGACCCTCCCCCGTAGCCTGTGGTGAATTGGCTGAAACATGAACTTTGTGAGTCAGAAAGAGTTGGTTTCAATTCCTGGTTCTGTCACTTTACTAGCTATATATGAAAAGAATGATTACACCTACTAGTATAGTTTATTTTAGAAATAAAATGAAATAATAATAATAACACATCTTAGTGCCTAGCACAAAATGGGTACTTAATAATTTTTAAATTCTGTAATATATCATTGATACTTTAGGTATACAAAACAATAGAAATTTGAAATTCATAAATCTTAATCTTCAGACACACACACAGTTGTTGACTTATTAATAACATAACTGGAGTCCTGATGCATGAAATTCATGCAAGGGGCTTGGCCTTCATAGCCCCAGCTGCCTCGACAGGAAGCTGGAAGGTCGTCCAGAAGGTTATTCAGATGGTAGTTCTGCTGTTTGGTCTAATTAGCATATTAGCTCTTTATTATATAAGATTTTCTCCATTATCCCTAGCATATGGTTTCTGACCAATGCATAAGTACTTCATCTCAATAGGGGTACCATTATCTCCTTGGCAGTTCTTTTCATTTGGATCACTGAAATTGTAAAATATTTTAAATATATTTATTCACTTTGGATATCCTGTGATTTCTAGCCACTGTTCTTGTTCCTACCCTTGTAACTATCTAGAATTAGTATGCCATATTCTCTCTCATGGCAGCCTTTCCTAGATTGGAAGAGAAATAACTTCTACCTTGAAAATTTTTCTATTTTGCCCATTATTAATATCATAGTTCTTTTAATTATTTCTTATATGATATATTTCTTAGACTCTCATGAAAAAGATTATTTGTCTTTAAGTCTTTTTCCATTTGCCACTCAAACACCCAGGTAACATTTTCATTTTCGTCTCCAAAGAAGTGCACACTGGGGAATGCTCACATGGCCAGTGAGGCAAATATAATTGGACAGAGGAACCTTTCACCACTCATCAGTCGTCTACTTAAGTACTTGCCTGTGTAGGAAGCTGAACTTGCCTCTGTCAAATTATTCCTTTAGAGGCAGTTCTCAGAAGGATCTACCCCCCTTACTTGGGCTAGTAAACTGAATAGAGATGATCCAAGAAATAGGGAGAAAGATCAGCCCTTCCCAGTCTAATACACTGCAACTGTCTCTCAGTTCATGTTCAGTATATTTTAAGCTATAAAGTTTAAAAGCTTATACTGGTATGAAGTGATCAACATTCACAGAGGTTGAGTACTACATAGTAACCACACATTACTAGTAAAAATTATAATAATATGTATTAACTTAGCAAAATGCTTTGACAGGGTCAAGTTTTTTAATGTTCTTTCCATAGTACACGTTAGAGTGCTAACCTATTATTTCTTCTAGTTTTATTGAGAAATAATTGGCAAATATCACTGTATAAGTTTAAAGGAGTACTGCATAATAGTTTGATTTACATTTATTATGAAATTATTACCACAGTGTGTTCAGCTAACATCCATCTTCTCATATAGATACAATAAAAAAAAGAAAAAGAAAAAAGGTAAAAGAATATTCTTGTGATGAGAACTCTTAGGATTGCTCTCTTAACAACTTTCCTATATACCATACATCAGATTTAGCTATAGTCATCACATTGTACATTACATCCCTAGTACTGATTTATCTTGAAACTGAGAGTTTGTGTCTGAAATTCCAAAATCTTAATCCTCAGACACACACACACACACACACACACACACACACACACACACACACAAGTTTAAATTATGTTAATTCCTGGTGATATATAGAACAATTATAAATAGATTTGGATAAGTTCATGTTAACAACTTATTCTTCTAATATAGATGCTTGAAATGTTTAAAGTGCTTGTCTAACCTTTCAGAATAATGGACATATTGACTCAGAATACCATTCTTTGATGTCAATTGTTAGGGAAAAAAACACTTTAAGAATGCAAAGCATCTAAGAGGTGCTTAAGAAGATTAAAAGAGGTAGCACCTATGAAATTTCTAAGCCCAGTTGCCTAAGATAGTAGCTATTTTTATTAGAGAAGCAGCATATTGGTTGAAAAGAAGATGGAAAGGTGTGGGTTCCGACTCAGCTTAACAATTACTAGATAATAAGAGCTAACATTGATATGGCAAACACTGGGCTCCAGGTTCAGTTATGAGCACTTAACAACTATCAGTCAACTCATTCAATCCTCTCAACAGCCCTCTGAGGTGGGTGCTCTTGTATCCTTTAGGATCTGTCAGGAGAATGAAATCAAATCAATAATTTCAACACAGAGACTATAATGTAAAGAATCATTAATGGGTTGTGTTGCCAGCGAATAGGGCTCTTCCATGGAGTCACAAGAAAAGCATTTCAGTGACCCACTCATGGGAGGATGAAGTGCAGTGGTGAGATTTATTGAAGTAGAAATAAAAGACTGCCTCCAGGTTTCCAGCGTCTCATCCACTGTCAGGTCACTCAGCTCCATCCTGCTGTGGAAGAAGTCCAGCCCTGTCTTCAAGACCAGAAGAAGGCCCGGTCCAGAAATCCTGTGCCATTGGTCTTGCATTGGCAGGGCATCTGAAGCTGCGGCAGTTCAGTTTAATCCATGGCCAAGTATAATCTCTCTTTCTGCCCAGCTAGCTTTCTGTACCAGTTGTGTTCTGGCCAGCTCTGGGCTGCTGCACCCAGGCTCTTGCTTGGGCCTTCATGGCTGCGGGGCATGTGTGGCTGCTACCAAGAGAGATCACATAAACAAACAGGTTAATAGAAACTACCAAGATAGAAGTCTTTGTTAAAATTTGGTTATATTTTCTTGGATTTGGGAAAGAACCAGCTGGTTTTCAAATTAACCAATCTCTTTGCCAATCCTTCACAGGTTTTGCTGGCCCTCCTCCTAACAAATTCACTTCCTAAATCTAATAGGGTCTGTGTCCCTTAACCCATCCAACCCTTTTCCCAGGCTATGTTCCTCCCCTTATGGTTACCATCTTAGTTCCTACCGGCACGTCTCAAAGTAGAAGCACTTTCCCATGTGCCATCTTGCCTTCCATTGCACATGTGCTTACTTCCCCCTGGGCGATCTTGGCTTCTCCTGGGCATGCACCCAGCAGAGAAATGCCTCCTTTATTGATTTACCTCTCCCTCAGTAATCCAGGATAATAGCCAGCTGTCCTTTGGGGATCGCACTTCAGGGATAAGGTCCCCTTGGTGGAGGATGAGGCTGCTCTCTGAGGCATGACAGTTTATTAGGCTTAATGTCTGATTCTATTTGCTCCCTTCCTTTTTTAATATCTAGCTATCCAGCTTTAAAGGTGTTAGCTAGGTAATGGAGAATAAAAAGAGAATTCTAAGATGCGGGGTGGCAATCCCAGGACTACTAAAACTTCTTAGATACTTAGAGGAAGCTGTTCCACAGAGTTGAAATTCAGACCTCTGAAGAAAGAGTGCTGCCCGCCACACTATGGGCTGATTCTGCAAGCCCTGGGGTGGGGGGGGGGACCTGCAAAATGGATTCAGTGGCTTTGCAAGAAGTTGACATGAGTGTGTTACTAAGGAAATGCATTCAGAGGAAGTGCACAAAAGCAAGTTCCTTCCTGCTCTTCCAGTTCTGCAGCCCCTCTAGCACCCCCTACTGGCGGAGCTAGCAAGAAGCCAGCTGATTAAGCAGGAATGTGTTTTACAGTCCCAAGCCTGACATCACAAAGTTGGTTACAGAAAGATGGTTTGTACCCGAGAGACAATAATTTAACTGGTACAGTCAGTAGTTCTCTTTTGTAGGTGAGGCACAGATGTGTTAAGCTGTGTTTACCTAGAGCTATTGTCTGAATATTTGTTTCCTGCAATTCAAATCTTGACCCTCCTACCGCCCCCCCCCCCCCCCCCACACACACAAATGGTATTGGGAGGTTGGCCTTATGAATGGGATTAATGCTCTTATAAAAGAAATCCCACAGAGCTCCCTGGCCCCTTCCACCATGTAAGGACACAGTGAGAAGTCTGCAATCCTCCCCTCAACATGCTGGTACCCTGATTTTGGGCTTCCATCCTCCAGAACTGTGAGAAATAAATTTTTGTTGTTTATAAGTTACCTACTCTGTGGTATTTTGGTATACAATTGTCCCCACCTTCCACCTTCCATTTGCAGTATCGCTTTGGGTGATTTCATTACTCCTTGGTCAATAGTGGTCTGAAAAATATTAAGTGGGAAATTCTAGAAATAAACGTTTTAAATTGTGTGCTGTTCTAAGCAGTGTGATGAAATCTTGCGATGTCCAGCTCTGTCCCATTCAGGGCATGACTCAGCCCTTGTTTGCCCAGTGTATCCACATTGTAGATGCTCCCACCCATTAATCACTTAGAGGCCATCCTGGTTTTCTGACCCATTGTCACTGTGTCACAGTTCTTGTGTTCAAGTCACCTTTATTTTCTTAATAATGGTACCAAAGCACAAGAGTAATCATGCTGGTAATTTGGGTATGCCAAAGAGAATCTGTAAAGTGTTTCCTTTCAGTGAAAAGGTGAATACAGTAAAATATATTTATTATAATATATTATTATAATAGTTCTATTTTATTATTAGTTATTTTATTATTAGTTATTGCTGTTAATCTCTTACTGTACCTA